TTTTGCGCAGATGTCGAGGAGGGCGCCGGTGTTGCGGGCGCGGCGGGCTTTTGGGCGGCGGGGGCGGGGGCAGGCGTTGAGGGTGCTGCTCTGCTGGAGGATGCGGGGGCAGCCTTGGGCTTCATGGGGCAGTCAGTACGGTCATTCTTGCGGATGGCGGGCGAGCATCAACTCACCTTGGAGACCATGCAGACGATGAAGCCCTTCTCCTCAATCTTGTACGACTCGACCGTGTGGGCGTCCTGCAGAATCTTGCCCGAGTAGATGAGCTTCTGTTGGGGCACCTCCCAGCCCTTGTCTGCCTGGATTTTCGCCTTGAGCTCGCCAATTTATGGAAACTGTCAGTAAGCAGGCCGTTTCTTGCAGGTATAGGGCCATCGCATCCTTGCGTCGTGGTGGAGTGGCGTACCGTTTCCGTGGGTTCGGCCTGGATGACGAACTTGTTCTGCTTGAGATCCTGCGCGCGAGTCAGCAGTGTGTAATGCAGGCCCGATGGTCGATGGTCTCGGTGGGGGGGGGTGGGATGTTTATACCTTGAATGTGATCTTCATCTTGGCGGTGGTGTGTATGTGTGATTGTGTTGATGGGTTGGGGGCGGGTTATGAGCTTCGCGGTGGGGGATGGAGGCGAAGTAAAGTCAAAGTAGTAAAGTAGTAGGTTGTAAGGGTAAGTAGCGGGCAAGGGTAGAAGGCAGCTCTCGGCGGGGCACAGTAAGAAGTAAGCTAGGTAAGTCCTGTACCTCGACTTCTTCACTTACCGTAATCTACTGACTGCAGCGGCAACAACAACAACGGCAAGAAGAAGAGGAGGCCGGCAGCAGGCAGGATACCGAACTGGCAGCAGGCAGCAGGCATGAATACAGGCGGGTTGTTTTGTTTGCTTGCCAAGAACAAGTCAACAGAGGAAAACGCGTGATTTTTAATCAAAGTGTAGAGTAGATTTCGACCGTTACCATCAGCCATCACCACTAGCACTGTTCAGCCACAGTTCCGGTACCGCCGCCACCGCCACCGCCACCGCCACCGCCACAACTCACCCGCAGCAACGTTTGGCCGGGTTGCGCCCAGATGACCAAGTTCGGTTCATCTTCCGCACATTGATTGATCAATACAAGTAATATGCCCAGCCTTGTGCCGTCAGACCATCACGTGATTTCTTCTCCACTCTAGACCTCCATGCTGACCACACAAACTTCTTCCCCCCCCCCTTTCTTGGCCATCTTCCCAACCTCGGTCAAAATCTACGACCAAAACACTGGCTTGGAACATACCCGTGTGCAGGCTGTAGCCCGTGTGCAACCGTCGCCTATTGCCGTGTCCACCACGTCGTGCCGTTGGCACCGCAGCTGCAACGCTACCTACTTGTGTATACCGACGGTGCAACATCTTGAACATGCAAACCTCACTCGCCACCAGACTCGCAAATGCACTGCCCTTCAAGCGTGATGCTGGTGCCGGCCATATGGGCAGCCAGTAGTGGACCGGTGGTCACTGATGCCCTGGAGTGGCTCGCATTGAGAGCTCCAAATGTCCACAACAGCGCCGTGACCAAGGGCTTGCTGACCAAAAGAACATGCCCGAGAGGACGGCCGGGCGGGCAAGCTGCTGTTGTTTTGTTGTGCTGCCCGCCCATGTACACATAGCACATGGTTACCATTGTGTCTACAACATACACACAGCCAAACAACGCGTCTCACGTCTGCTGGCGCAGGCACAGGGGAAATGAAGGGCTAAAATCGCCGCAGCTCCGCCCGTTAAACTCTGACAGGCCAACCCTTACCACAACCTCCGACATCTGCGACCGCCATGGTCCAGGCTCGCCATCCGACACACACAACCGCTACGGTCGTAATTGCGTGTTTTTGAGCATGAGCGCCAGCCATGGCTCCCGCAAATCTGTGCATCGTGGTCCCCTCGTGCCTCAGCTGTCTTTCGGCCCAGCGCCAGCGTGTCACAGTCGGCCACACCGCCCATCATCGCCAGGCACGTCCTCTGCTCATGGACCCCTCTGCTGCTACCGCTCCGCCAATGTTGCGCTGCCATGCTCCAGCCTCGCTCACCATGTGTCCCCAGTGGTGCAGCAGTCCGCTATTGCTCGAGGGATGCCTGCGAGCATCCGGTATGCTAGCCTAGGTTCACCCATGTCGCGCCTCATGTCGTCCAACCCGTTACAGGGCTCCCAGTCCACAAAACAAATGGCAGAATCAGCTTTTTGCTTCTCCCCAAAATGTTCATTACACTGTGTGGCTCCCTCCCCACATGCTCTAATCCCTATGGACCCGCCTGTCTCCTTCAACTCTCATCTCCCACGTCATCTCCTAAACGTCCACTTCAATTCTTCTCTTCCTATCAAATCTCATCCCTCGACTAGACGACCAACTCACTGGCAATTCGGTGACAGCCCGGCATAAGTACGTCTATTCTTTCCGGCGCTAGACGCTTGTATCGACCACTCCCCGTCAACGGCTCGCTTCCACATTCGGACTCCGCGTTGCCTCCATTGCATCGCTGGGGCTATAGTAGCTGCATTTATACAGCGGACTATCATCTTACTCCGCTCTTTGAACGCGTCTCGTCTCGCGCGCCCATCTGGCCCGCGACTTACCCCAGCAACAACATTAAACGCCCCCAGTTTTCTCGTTTCCATCCCACTGTACCACCTCATCGCAGCTGCGTCTTCATCCTCGACACGTCGACCAATTGACTAGGACGACTGGAAACCTTCATCTGGACCTACCCGGGGACTATCTGAACGCAAAGCCGACGGACGGGGCTGATCGACATCCTTGCGTCGACGAATCTATCCTCCTGTCATACGTCAGCACCTTACTATGGGAAACCGTAAATATTTATGCTCCTTTGTTGGCCTTGTCGCATGGTCAGGTACGGCCGCAGACGCAATCTTCTGCATTCTGGAGGCTGCTGCGTTCTCGAATACTGAGATACCCTTGGTTTCCGTCGCGGCCGCAGCAAGTACACTAAGTCTACTTTCGCTTTTCAGCATTGGAATATATTGCTACTTTACTTTCTGGCGGATACATGGACCCAGAGGACGCTCATCTCAACTTGTAAGACTACTGGTAGCCAGCAGCAGTATTTTGATGTCATCGGCAGCCCTAATTGTTTCTCTCGTCTTAATCATTCTAATTAAGTCGAGATGGAAGGAAGTCCTTGCTGCTACTTCTACAGCATCGGTCACCGGTTGGAGTAGTCTTGTGACTGGCCAAATAACCGTGTGGACCGTTGCTTGCGCCAGCCAGATGATACTGTATCTGTCACAACTGTGGCATCCCAGTGCGCCAACAGTGCAACAGATTCTTACTTCTGGTCCACGAGATTCCGTCATGTCAGAGTGCCGCTCAACTAGGCCGGGCAATCTCTACATACCTGAACACCCTCATGCTGTCATGACTCTAGGCGCGCTACCGTCTCCGACCTTTTCTACACGCTCCTCGCAATCGCTCAAATCATTTCGAGACTCATTACGACACGTCGTTCGCCCCATAACTTCCCGGTCTACACTGATCAGCCGGCAATCGGCCAGCCGGCAATCGGCCAGTCGGGAGGCTCGCAGTATCCATTCGGATCGACAATCCATCGATAACACATCTCACCCAGACCCTTTTGACAGCTGGGACACAAGTAGCGTCAGCTTGCAAGCACGGGATGCAGTGATGCAGACCGCGCCATATAAGGGCACAACATTAGAACCAATCCCTGGGAGTCGGCCTAACTCGCCAGCACGAGCTCTTGATGGGCCTTTTCTTTCCGAACTGCCAGAAGAAGAGGTGGAGAGTTTGACGCCGCCGCCAAAGATGATGCCAGACACATCACGGCCCCCGAGTCCAGCTGTGAGCGAAGCCCATATCCATCCTCTTTTCAGGACCGCTACACCAGAGCCAGCGCCCATCACTACCATGGGCACCAGTATCATAGCCAGTCCTTTGGCGAGCCAAGCTATTGCTTGCCCAGCACCAACTTTCAATCGTATGCGATCAAACAGCCGTGGAGCTGCTCCAAGCCCGCTCCATCAGGCTCGTAGTTTTACTCGGGATCGGGCTGCAAGCCTGTCGACATGTTCCAGAAGTTCCTCCCCACCCCGTCGAGGCATGACACCTCCTATTCCAGACTTCATTCTGAACTCTTCGCCTAGAAGTAGCATGAGCGGGTCTCGGCGAGTGAACCTTCAACATCCTGCGGATCGATGATTTGTTACCGATTTGCACGTCTTCGGAGCTCTAGATGTGTGGTGGCCCGAGGTGGATGGCTTCGTTGTCCGTGAGCCGATTATCCGATACGAACCATACGTTACGATACCACTGTTTATACCATGTCCGCTTTTGCTTTGATTTTTTAGCTCTCACCTTGATTGGTTTGATTGAGCAGTCCAGGCGCTGTGATCTATGGTGTTCGATATGAAATTAGCTCATGTCTCACATGTACATACCGGGAAAATGACGTTATTTAGATGAGGTTCACTCGTCCGGCTTTACGGCGAAGGAAAAAGTGGTTAGGCGTTGAATTAAATGGGCCCCCTATCGTAATAGGAGGTGCACTCATTGCACTCGGAAGTGGCAGCTTTCTAATGTGGTATAACCAGATGTTTGGGACATGGGAAAAACTATATACACTTGTTACGATACTTCAATCAAGTACTCATGCCGCGAGTTGTGCAATCAAGCGACCCTCAGCATATACTTAACGAACTAGATGAGAACTATCAATTCCGCCAGGTACACACACGAGCGTATATATGTAGCGTGGCCAAGTCAGAACTGCCCTTAACCAGCGACTTGATTGTGCTAGGAGCAAGGCCGGCTTTGAGGACCATAGGAGCAGAAAATACGAACGCAGTCCTACCGGCGAGATAGAGGTAATATCAGGCTATGATCTCATTGGTGATTCTGTTAGTTACTAGAATTGTTAATCTCTAGTCCTCGTCCAAACTTGCATGAAACCAAACCACACACGATGCAGATGCACAGCTTGCAGATAATTGAGAGCATACTTGCTACATGATTGTATTTGCACATGAATGTGATGATTCAGAGTTTTTACACTCCTAGGTGTCTCTCAGAGTCTATTTCGGTCTCTGTCAGCATCCGGAGGCCATCTCGGTGATCGACCCGCCTAGTGTGCGCTAAATGACGTGCAATTTGAAACTTGGGATGAAGCAACTCAAGAGCTCCGAGAAGGCATGGCGCAGTTGTGCCAGGAGAATTTTAAAGATGTGTCAGGAGGTATAGATGGGAGGAGCTGGATCTGTTGTACAATGTGTGTGGGAATCTATGCCACATTGTTCAGGTACCGTACCGGTGCCGGTACCATGATTGTTCTTTCTGCTCGCCAGATGCTGATGGGTCGCAATAGCATGAAAGCAAATGAAGAAGGGCACGAGCCGTGTGATCTGGTAGATATGGATCTCTGTATGACTCTTATTTCTAATGGATCATTTCATCATACTACCTGCTACTCTTACGGCCTATTGTTCCACAGTTGTTGCGTTTGCAAAGTAATCCCTCTTTAGCGTTCCTAATTGGGTTAGCCTCCGGACGATGGATTGATCCAAGCAACAACTTTCCACCCTATGCGATCGACCAACACGACGTACAGTACCTTCGACTCTTCTTGTACTTCGGTCCCTGACTGAGCGACCTTGGTTCAAGTGGAATATCGCCCTTTGCTATCGTATATACGCAACAAGACTCACACAGCAACTGTGCCTTGCCGAGCATTTCGACTCCACCGCTACCCGGCCAGGGCTACCCACCTATTACCTTTCTTGCAGCACGCCCGCAACTACTACTTCCAGGAAAACCAAGCATACAGACGCTCGGAGACTATTGAATAAATCTCCGAAAAAAACTCGATGATTCCAGTCTGGTGATTCTGACGTCCGCATTGCATTGCCAGTCAGAGTCGTAGCGGGAAAAAAGGACGGACACGGGGCCCAAGGTAAGTCACCATCACTTCAGCAATCTTGTCACATACCCAAGGCAAGATATTCAAGCTTAAGCGTCATCCATCGACGCCAGCAACCTGGATTGTCTTTCTACCGCATCTTTACATGGCACTACCACTCGCTTCCTGAGGTTGCACGGCTGACACGCGTTTCTTGCGGCTTCTTTAGACTCATTTGGCCCCTTGAGCATACACAGCTTTGAGGAGAGTACTGCCCCGCAAGCGCATGTACGCGGCTATACCGACTTGTACGTTTTATTCTCTCCAGGGCTCCATGAAGTGTGTTCATGCAGCTTGCCTGCATCCGCTTATGGTACCAACTTGGACACGGGTCAGCGGCTGATGCTCCACAGGGCTGCCGGTACCATCTGACGCAAGGACAAGATGCCGCCCAAACGCAAGAATAAAGCGACAAAGGCCATGACCAGAAACACCACCAAATCACGTACGTCCTCGCCCTCCCCCCTCCCCCCCCCCTTTTTTTTCTCTCCCTATGCCATGCGCAACATGGTTCCCTATTGCAGATAGGGTTTTGCAGTCTGCAGTGTACACATGGTCTCAGGCTCGAATGCGGACTAACATTTGCCCGCTAGCCGCAAACAGGCATAGTGCAGGAGCCGCTAAGCGAACTGGCCTCGGGACAGAAGGAGCGACAGGCAAGATGTCTCGCCTTGCTCCTTCAGTACCATTCCAAATGACCACGCGCCGCGGTGCAAAGGGAACGTCCAACACTGGCAGTCCTGTTGGGCCTTCCAGCATCGACTCGACCAGCCGTCGCAGTTCTCTGGCCGACAATGCGCATCAGGGCGAAGATGCGCCCTCAGACCTTGAAGATGCGCGACCAGCCAAGCGCAGCCGAACATCGACCGATTCTGGTTCGCCGCAAATGTCTAATGATGCCTCGTCCGACCACAACACTCCTATGCAGCGAACGCCATCCCCATCGCCCTCGTCAGAGCCGCAGAAAGCCGCCGGGGGGCCGCCCTTGACGGTGTCCAAGGCAGCCGGCAAAAAGAGGCGCGCTTCCGAGGATTCGACAAAGTCCGACAAGACGCCTAGCACTCGTCCTGATGGTCTGCTAACCCGTGCCCAAAGCGATGCCTCTGAAACACTACAGCCGCGCAGGAAAAAGCGCAAGACAACAGAAAACTCATCCGGCAATGCCGACCAGCCGCCCGAATTGACTGATGCTAGTACTGCTCCCAATTCGCCTGAGCAGATGCCAGATGTCGATGGCAGTCAGACGCTTCAGAATGTTTTGCCGACCAATGGCGATGCCCCTGCAAAGTCTGGCAGACGCCTTCCTGGTCGTCGCCGCCAACCGCATCCGGACATCAACATTGAGACTGATCTGCGCCGACAGCTCAACCTCAAAATGAGTTATCGCAGTCTGGCCAAGGTGCAAAAGATTCTTCTGGATGAATTGTCGAGCCGCACCACGAGTCATCTAGAGAAAGACGCAGAGTACCACACGCAATGTCCCGAATACGAACCCTTGATGGCGGATTTGGATCGGCGTCGCCGCAGCCGTCTGGACGAGATTGATGCTATTCGCACCTATCGACTGGAACAGCTGGAGCGCATTCGAATTGCCGAGGAGCGCATACAGAAAGAGCAATTCATTGTAGGTGCTTTTCTTAGCATTTTCCACCTACTTCTCACTAATCACGTGCAGAACCGCTTCCAAGAACTGCAGGATGACTACTTGCTGCAATGTTACTTCCGCATGAAGCAAATTGAGCGAGAAATGAAAGGCGAGGAAGCTGATGCGACTGATGATGAGGTAAGAGCCATCGTCCCTTCCCAAGGCCAACTGCTTATAAGATCTAGGACAACGTACTTCCTCCAACCTATACTGATGAACCACATGCTGAAGTGGATGATCGCATTGGCTCCAAATATGCCTCACGCAGCCGCGCATATGTTGAAGCTGACAGGGCACTTGAACACGAATCGATACGGCGTCGCTTTGATCGCGCCCGTATAGCGTTCGTCGAGGCCGATGAAGATGCGGATGACTCGATTGAAGATCTACCTGGTGGCTTTGCGCACTACGCCGGACCTGATCGCAAGACAGCTATCGCACACTACAACATCGCAAGTCTCGCTGATGCTGCACTCGAGGTTGAAAGAACGCCTTCCCCGCCACCAAAGGTTCAGGACGCTCCCGTGATTTCAAACGAGCATGCTACACTCCTTATGATACTTGCAGACGCCTCTTCCCAGTGCACTCGGCCGAATGATGCGCAGTCATCTGCTAAGGAAATCGCAACACAGCAGCCCTTATCCCAGTCGCCTCCGCGAGCTCCCACACCAGAGATCAAACAAGAGCTACCTAGACAGACATCTCCCATCTTACCTCCAAGCGATATACCGCTTATCATGCCGTCACAAGCGGCACATAGCAGCCCTGTGAAAAGCAATCAATCGACTCCAGTGGCCTACCCTAAGCCAAATACATTGAACAATGTAGAAAAGTCGATCAGCACCGAGACAGCAACCCCCGCAAGGATTTCGACTCATCGAATTATGGACATCTTGAATGACGACCAAGAGGTCCCCGTATCAAAGCTGAGGGAGGCTCAACCCGCAGCAGCAGAGCAAGGTATTTCGGCTTTGGCGGACAAGGAGCTCGCACGTAAACAGGTCACATCACCCAAAAGTAACACGCATCTGTCGGAAACTGCCGCCACCCGGGATGACCCCCCTGTTGACCAAGCATTGATGGATGCCCTAGGAGGGCCTTCGCAAACAAGCAATCCTTCCACGTCACCATCCACGCACCATCGTACTTGGCAACCCCCAAATACTGAGCCGCCAAGGGAAGCAGAAGAGTCGCTCCGTCGTCGGGATCCCCTTCAGAGGATTAGGGAAATGCTAGACAGGAAAGCTCGTGAAAATGGCAGAGATCCTCCTGAACGCTCACAGTACTGGCGGACTCCGCCTTATGCCGGAATGGCAACTGGGCAGAGCACGCAGGAACGCTCAGATGTGGCTGGCTACGATCCACAACGCCCATCTACCGGTCTCTATGAATCCTCGCCTACTGTTGGATCGGCCTATGTTCCTGTAGGCCGTCGTCCATCGCACGATCAAGGCGCTGCGCAATGGGAGCAGGACAGAGGGATGAGTGGTTCACAGAGCTCTCAGCAGCCTACAGCCTCGCCATACGCTTCAGCCAGCACGCCTCACGGTTATCAGGCCGATCATCATCGGCCGGGACCCAATTCCCCCACACATCAGAGCCCTTATGCTCCTCCTACAAGCTCCATGCCACTCCCACCCAAACCACCTGGACCTCCACCAGCTGGACCCATCAACTTCCGCTTCGCACATTACGACCCTGCTCCAGGCCGACAGTCATACCCACCACCGTCGCCAAGCTACGCACCCGCATCTCATCCCAGCCATGCCCCCCCTCCACCTCAATTCGCACCCATCTACGGCAGTCCGCCCTACCAAGTCGGTTACGTACCTCCGGCTGGATCGTTCCAGGCACCACCTCCCCCCTCCGGGCTACCCAGCTACCCACCTCTCAAGATCCACCAATACGGTGGACAGCCCATCCTCCCCGCAAACATGGCCCCTCCATCACAAGTAGGCACAGCGCCCATGACCTTCATCGGCCAGCCAGCACCTCCACCGGCCTTCTCGCCCCCACAAGGCCAACACCCAGGCCCACACTACGAGCCCCAGCGCGAAACAGCCCAGGGCGAGCGGGCCTCGGAGCCGCAGTCGAGACCACGCCGTCAGTATCGAAGTTACCACGCGCCTGGCACCCAGTTTAGGAGCTATCAGGGTCCGGGTGAGAATCGGCGGAGGGGCACTTGAATCTTTTGCAGGTACCTTTTTTTTTTGGCGACGGAGGAGGGGGGGCTTGTTGGTGGGTTCTCTCTTGCCTGTTGTGTACCTGTGCCTTTGTGCCCTGTCTGTATAACTCCCATAAAAACCGCTTCCTTCGCCTTGGATACATCGGGGATAATGAAGACTTCTTCTTCTTCTTCTTCTTCTTCTTCTTCTTCTTCCTTTTTTTTGAGAAGGGGGGGCGGGGAAGGCAATCAAAAAAAGGTCATGGCGTTGCATAGCGTGGCCCAATTTATTGATTGCTTATTCTATCTTTCCTACCTGCCTCTCTCTCTTCTTTCTTGCTCGTTCTTGCTTTTTGGCCTGCTGGTGCATTGCTTCGTCCTCTCTCCGCCGGAACCCCGCGCGTGCTTTGGGTTGGGGTTGTTTTCGAGGTGGGG